GTATTTACGGCCTACCACTTTTAATCTGCTGAAACGTGAACGAAATTAAAGCTTTCTGTCGAAACGATTTCACAGATTTGCTCTCCATTATTGCGATACGCTTTTGAAAATTCAAACTCGCCTCAGAGATTCTATTTCGTGACTTATTCTCGCTTCTGTGAGGTCCATAAGTCAAATCGAAGCGCGATATAAAAGCCCAATCTGATTTTCCAGCGATATAATAATGCAAATACATAATATTTGTGTTGAATTTCCCTCACTTCCTAAATAAAATATCAATTATGCAGAGTGAGATTTATTATGCTGAGAATCAAATTAGTATGGAATAAAATTCATTGTTTGTGAAATAAATAATTACTTTTTAAATCAGTAAATTCAACTATACTTTCTTTTTCATTTTCTAAAATTTCAGAGAATAAGTATGACTAGATGAATTATATGCATTAAAACCTTATACTTATTTTTCACTTAATTTTCTAATCAAAATACCAAATTAATAATTAAGTTTTAAATAATAATTGCGCTTTAATTCAGTAGTGTAGTAATTATCCGAAACAATTATCCGTAAAATATTTCGCTGCGAGAAAATAAATAATTATAGTTTCTAAGCAACAAAGTGCAATGTTAATATTTTTAGCGTATTAACGTATGCGTATTTTACATTTACGATGATTTGCGATAAGTGCTTATACGAAACAATGTAGCGACATAAATTATGGCCTAGAATTATGCAAATACCGGATACATATAATTTACGCAGTAAATGTCATCTCCTAACTAAACAAGATCGATACATACTGCTTTACGATATTGCAGTATGCGCAAGCAGCATAATGGCCAACATTGTATTGTATTATGTTCCTGCGAAACAGGTAGGCGGCGCCCTTTAAAATTTTTAGCTCTCGCGGATATTCTCGCCGTTTTACCTTTTTTCCCTCATGACCACGAAATAAATAATTTGTGTATTTCCTAGCGCAATTTTACGCGACGGCACGATGCAAAAACAATGTGGCATTAGCGTCCCGAGGTTACAACGATACGTTCGTGACTCTAATACCTCTACAATTGTATGAGAAATAAAAATGAAAAATTTACTCGCCGATATGTAACTTCCAAGCGGATTTTAACTCCAGACTGCATTCGGCTAGCATAATATCCATCGGGTTTCGACCTTGATTAATACACAAAGCTGGATTATGAACTTTAGTCCGAGCATTGACTCAAAGGATTTAACGTACAATTGGCAGCTGGAAGTAATTAAGGACTGCTACTAAATTATCGATCGCCCAATCCGACACGCGTCAAGCGCACTATTGGCAGATAAATGATCGCAATGAATCAACTGCAACAGTTGTGGGTGTAACCAAATGTCAACAATGACGATTGCTCTATATCCGTAGCCTTTAATGACGTGCTACGTCAAAATCGAACGGCGAAAATCAACCGCATGCAGGCTTGACCTGATTCCGCCGCATAACGATGTAAACGCGATGCTGTAAAGCGCCGAAATGGGACGTTTTCTGTGAAATTTAGACGCGAAGGCGTCTTACGAATTTAAGATTGATACGACACGCGCCCGGTAATTTAGCCCGCAAATACGTCACAACTATTGTAAGCATTTAAGAGCCGTTTTTTGCCGTTTCCTGAAATTCATGAATTTAAGCGGTTTTTTGAGATTCTGAACAAACTGACTTTAAATTCACTCTCTTTCAATGATCAAAATAAATATCCCTGTAAAATGTCTTAAAAGAGATTGTAATTATATACAAAATGCATATCCTAAGTTTGAAATGCATAAGGATATAAAACACTTTAAAAGAACTGAATAAGAAATTCAGAGACCGTCAAATTTGAAAGTATAATTTGCTATTCGCTAGGAAAGAATGTACTTCTTACAAAATATCAACTTTAGATATCGCTCTTCAAACTGTGAAATGTATAAGTTTTGACTCCGATAAAAAGAATATATTCGTAAATAGAAATATTTAAAATTGCAGATTTCAACAATAAAAGTGGAAAGTCGCATCTGATGTGAGATTGATGTGGAGAAACATATTTGCAAACAATTCTGCGCTTAGAACCGAAATATCGTCCGACACATCTATTAAACTAAACTGATGGTTCACAAATAATCAATCATATATAAAAACTCTAAATCAAATATATAAAAAAAATATGTAAGTATAAATGGCATTTATAAGCGATTAAAATCTACAGTAGACTTGCTTTCAACGGAAATAGAATACAATATCGCTCATATTATTTATGAAAGTCGATATAACTTTCTTGTTCACGACCTACGTATGTGTATAGTTGACAGGACCTCAGAAAGATTAATAATCTTTATGATTAATGTGACAGTTTGCGCTCATAAGACTCTCTTAAAAATTTACGTCTCGCCCGAAAGAAAATAACCACTGTAATAAAATAAAAATTTCGAAATAGCACGAAATAGCTATTTTCAAAACATATTTGAAAGCATGAGATATGCAAAGTTCAATCTTCACCGAACTCTGTATGGATGCTCGAAGCGTCGAAAAAATAATCTCACGCGTGATGTTGATCAATCTATCACGGTTTATTTCCGGACGTTTATTAGCTCTGAATGATGTTAAATATTATCAAACGTTCATGATGGTGATAATCGCCGAATGAAAGATTAATGATCTCATCTTCTTAAATCAATAATACCGCAATAGCGACCTACCGCACATGATGACGTGCGCGAAAATCTCTCAGCATAAAAGCATCGCGTGACACCGTATAAGTGGAAATATCGACTTTGACTTGTTGATTTCGTGCGTTGGTGTATTTATACAACGTCATTCGCATTTTGACGGTATTCTATCGGAAACAGATATTGCTGACGGCTAGTTAGTTAAATGTAAATTTTA